ATTTAGTTTTTATATAGTTTTTATGTAATTACTTATATAAATTACCTAATAAAGATATGAGCAAGGCCTCACCTTAATACTAAAAAAAAAAAAAAAAAAATTATAATGATAGTACATTAAGCTACACATGCATTTTTGGTATCTAATTTAAATAGTCTACCCAAAACATTAGTGCTATGCTAAGAGTTTCACACTATCTGCTATACTTGCATTTAACTATGAAGATTACCCATTTAAACCATCTGGTTATAACTACTATCAGCAAAATATATAAATATAATCATATATAAGTTATTATATCCCGAAAACTTCTGCAAGAATTACGAACAACGTGGTATATTTTAAAATAACTATTTTCATAATATTATATAATTTATTTCATAATATTACACAATTTATTTTATAAAATTATATAATTTATTTTAAAATATTTCAAAATATTTTAAAGAAATTTTGAAAGTTTTCAAAATATTTTGAAAAATTTTAAAAGTTTTCAAAAATATTTGAAAGGTTTTAAAATATTTTAAAAAACTTTGAAAGTTTTCAAAAATCATTCCAAAATATTTCAAAATAAATTGTATAATATTTTGAATTTTTATATATGAATTTATTTAAAAAATATACAATATACTGCAAATTTTGCAAATATTGGCAATTTAATACATAAAACTATATTTATTTATTAGATAAATTTATTTGTTGCTCTCCATTATATAATACTTTTGTCACAGGTTACATGACATAATACTAACTACTAAATCTTAACTCTAACTAACTACTAAACCCAATTCTAATACTAATTGCTAAACCCTAACCCTAACTAATAACTAAACTAATTCTAATACTATTGCTAAACCTAATCCTAACTACTAAACCAACTACAAAGCGCCGCCATTGTATATAAATTCAATAATTACAACCCGGCACTAAAAAGACTCATAAAAACAACACTAAAAAAGACGCTACAAAATCTGATAAATTGAAATAACAAGACCGACAATAAAGAAGTAAAAAACCTTCAAAAGAGTACCGAAAATGATGAAACGAAACCTACCAAAAGTGACAAAATGAAATGCACTACAAAACCTGACGAATTAAAACAATAGAACTAATGATAAAAAAAGTAAAATCTCAAAAGAACACCAAAAATAACAAAACAAAACCTACCAAAAGCTATACAATGAAATACGCTACAAAACCCAATGAATTAAAATGACAGAACTAATGATAAAAGAAGTCAAGAACTCAAAAGAATACCGAAAGTGACAAAACAAAATCTACTGAAAGTGACAAAAGCTATGTAACGAAGCTCACCAAATGCAAGAGTATATAGGTAAAACTCTAAAAACAGCTTCAAAATTGAAGCTATAAAACCACCTAAAATGCAGAATTCACACAACTAAATATTAGCAATATCAAGAAATCAAAAAAAATTCATAAAACAGTAATTAAAGAAATAAAAACTTACCAACAACAATATAGAAAACCACCTAGAGCTAACAACACCAAAGTTGTGAAATCAAAAACATAAAACTTTAGCAATAAACAAAAAGGATGCTACCAAAATTAATGAGATCACATTAACAAAGACAAACAAATGAAAACTCCAGTAACTAAGATACCAAAAATGATGACAATTACTTAAAAAAAAAAAAAAAAGTTAGTAACACACTACAAACAAACAAAAGCACCATTAGCTATAGTGCCAAACATAATAGTGAAACATGAAATGACAACTCTAGAAATGGTGGCCCAGTAATGATGACAAAATTTCAAGAAAAGAATCACTAGTAACGGTAATAATGATAATAAAAATTCCAAAAATAACGACATCAATGCAACTCACTATCTATAAAATCTAAAAAAAAAAAGTTATTGTAATATATACGTATATAGAAAAAAAAGAAAACAAGATAATAATAAAAAGTTAATGATTAGCATTAGTGCTTCAATTCGCAATCTAACTATTTTAGATTGATTTGATAATTCGGATTAAATGTAGATATCCTTATCCATCAATTCTATTTAGGATTGAGGATAAGGATTATTCAGATTAAATGTGAATATCCTTATCTGTTAATTCTATTTAGGATTAAGGATGAGGATTATTCAAATCATAGTCCTTACTAGATTAATACATGATACAGAAAATGAGATTTAATATGAATAACTATACTATACATTACTATAGACTGCTTTTGTAATATGGTCACCCTACTGATAATTTGATTTTTTTAATTTTTTTTTTATAATAAAAAAATATTAAAAATTTTGATCTTTAACATGTTTGTCTGTAGCGCAGTTTTTTTATACAATATTTGTTTTACATTATGTTTGAGAGGAGTCTAATTTATATATTAGATTGAAATGCATATAATGAATATAATAACAAAGACAAAACAGACAAAACAATAAACCATTCTATTGTTTGCTTTACAATAATATATTGTTATTTCAATTTAACAATTATAGAGATTCTTTAGTTCTCACACCAGTCTATCACCAAAAAAAAAATCAATAAAACAGCAAAAATTTTTTTAATTAATAAATATTGTATTATACTGCATTAATACATATTTCTATTTTCATTGTTGAGTTAAAGATTAATATAAAGATTATTTAAGTACCATATTGAATAATTAATATTGTACATGTAGATTATGTAAATTAGATAAATTGGTAAAAAAACTAATATATATACAGTATTAGTGATGGGCATATTAGCAAAAAAAAAGATTCTTTATGAATTTTAATACTGTATATAGTACAAATATTTAGTTTATACGAGAAGATTCTGGAACCTGCTTGGCAAGTCCCGAGTTGGGGAATAGCAGTGATCTTCGACAGTATCACATGAAAGGCTGAATTTGAACCGGAACCTGAAATTGGAGAACTGTAGAACCAGGTCCTTTAGTGCGGAGACACACCAGCCGAACTACCGGTTTAGATGCACCGGAGGAAAAGGGCATACACTCCGAAAGTATGAACCAAAGGGAGGGCGTCCTTCAGACACCTAAAGCCTGGGCAGACCAACCTTTCCGGGTTGCCGACTGGAACTGCGAGAGGGACCGATGAAGCTTCCGGGTAAGGAGACGGCTGGATTGTGGGTACTGGGGTTGTTGTGAACCCTGCAAGGGCAAGTCGTACGTAATGGGCGACTAATTAGGAAGGTTGGGCTTGAGATACGGATTGTATTATGGCAGCACCCCAAAAGGTGGCA